TCGAAAAATACTGATTGCCGATATAAAAAAAAAAAAAAAAAGAGTAAAAATACTGATCTTTTGGACAGAAATCAACTCTGTTTTGATGGCAGCTGTTTGTTGAAATTGTGAACACATAAAAACATCAAAACATTTTTTGCAAAGAAATAAAACCTCTTTTTTTTTTTTTCGGTACTTCTATCTATGATCAAAATAAATAACCGAAACTGAAATTGCACTGAACAGATTACCGTATCGTTGACGCTCGCTGCTATTGGATTGATCTGAAAAGCTGGTAAAATTGGAGCGGAATAATTTTGACTATAGTTGGGTTACTGTTGTTGTTGCTGCTGTTGGTTTTCATTAATTTTTTAATTTTTCAAGTAGCCGGAAACGATTATCGTTGTTGTTTGTTGATGGTGATGGTGGTGGTGGTGGTGGTGGTGCTGATAGTGGTAATAGTGGTGACGGTGGTGTTGATATTGGTAGTTGTGGCAATTAGGTGGTGATTTTAGTTGTTATGTGATGATGACCAACAAATATTACTGTATATATCTTATATATATATCAATCTGCTATATGCAATTGTTAAACCGGAAAAGCTGTAGAATTTATATATATACATAACGACTGAAGGAAAAACTTAAGATGTATACTTGTATCAGATGGCACAGAATTGAGCAGTTTTTGATCAACAGTTGTTTATGCATTCTTTATTTCCAGTTATATTTTTAATTCTTTCTTTTTTTTTTTTACTTGGTATTATTTTAAAAAGTTTATTTATTTTTTTCTTTTACTACGTATACCAAAGACAACCTTTTATTATTATTATTATTTTTTTTTGTTTACATCTTATTTTTGTAGTGTTGTGCTTATGTAACTGTGCTTTTTTTTCTCCTTATTCTATGTATTTGTGTATAGGAAGAGGAGCAGAAGAAAGAAAGTTGTGGTTGAAGAGGGAGCAATTGTGAAGAACTGAAAGGAGAAAAAGCAAAAAAAAAAAAAAAAAAAATAAAGGTTAATTTGCATATTTTTCGCTTGTTTTATAAGCATTTGTTTTTTTTTTTTTGGAAATTAATCTTATTACTCAGTTATTCAGTTACTCAGATAAATATACACAGATATATATTTATGGATATACTGTGTATTTGATTAATCAGCTTGAAAAAAGGAATTCTTTCTTATTGGTATTCTTTGTTTGGTTTTGTAAGTGTTTGTTGGTTTATTTTGTATATTTGGAACAGTTTGCTATTTAATTGTAAAAGCAAAAAAAAAAAAAACATTGCTAATAAATAGTTAAGGTTGAAGGAGAAGGAGAAGAAGAAGAAGAAAAGAGTGATGATAATAAAGCAAAAAAAAAAAAGTGAGAAGGAAAAAAATTTGTTAGAATATTGGTTTAATTTTACACTTTTTCAGTTTGATAAACATTACAAATTGAAAAAGGTAATAAAGTTCATCAGAATTATTGCAGCTTTTAGCTTTACTATGTTTTGGTGACAAAAATCAGTCTTATCGACAGCAAAGGCGCTCAAAAATAATACAGTATCCGAACTTTTTAATTAATTTCTTTTTCTTCTTTCTTGTTTTCCTGGTTTTTCCTTTAAACTTATTCTTTTTTATGTTTTTATTTTAAAAAAAAAACAGTATGAAAAAAATAGATTTTTACTTATGTTACCTCAGATATTTATCTGTTTTTTCCTGTTATCAGTCAATTTTGTTTTGTAATCAGCCAAGAAATACAGAAAAAAAAAACAAAAAAAAAAAAGTTAAAAAAAGATTGCTATTATAGCGGGTAAAATTTGTCTATAGAAGGCAACAGAATGTCTTTTGATTGCTAAACAAAAAAAAGCTGCTGAAATACGTGAAATATATAGCAATTTAATGGAGGAGAGACT